AAAAAAAAAAAAAAAAAGCTAAACTGCCAATATTACTTTGTGTAAGTCACTTAAGCACTCTAGATCTATTTAGTCAATTATAAATGAAAGCATTAGGGAAGGCTGCCCTCAAGGTCACTAGTGTTTTAAAGGCTCACTTGGAGTAAAAATCAAAATCCTTGCAATTGCCCTATATAATCTATCCATCTCTATCCTCAGCCTTTACCTCTCATACATCTACTATTCTTCCTCTTTTGCACTCTGTCCTACGTTGGCCTCTTTGCTGTTCCCCAAGCATGCCAGCATACTCTCCTCTTGCCTTAGTGCTTTGAATTGTTTCCTCTTCCCCAGGACATCCCCTAGACTCAACATACTCCTTTACTTCTTTCTTTTGTTCTTAAAGGTGCACAGCACCCCACTTGGCTAATTTTTGTATTTTTTTTTGTAGAGACAAGGTTTTGCCATGTTGGCCAGGCTGGTCTCGAACTCCTGAGCTCAACTGATCTGCCCATCTTGGCCTCCCTAAATGCTAGGATTACAGGCATGAGCGACCACAGCTGGCCCTTCACTTCTTTTCAATGCATCCTTTTTATTTTTAGAGTGACTTTTGCTCTTGTCACCCAGCCTGCAGTGCAATGGCACGATCTCGGCTCACTGCAACCTCCGCCTCCTGGGTTCAAGTGATTCTCCTGCCTCAGCCTCCCAAGTAGCTGGGATTACAGACAGGCATACACCACCACGCCTGGCTAATTTTGTATTTTTAGTAGACATGGGGTTTCTCTATGTTGGTCAGGCTGGTCTCCCAACCTCAGGTGATCCACCCGCCTCAGCCTCCCAAAGTGCTGGGATTACAGACGTAAGTCACCGCACCCAGCCTTCAATGCACCCTTTCAGTGATGCTTTCTCTGGTCACTGCTGATTAAAAATTGAATCCCCAATCACAATACCCCCTACTCAAAACTTTATTTTTCTCTACTTATTTATCACTTATTTATTCAACTTATTTCTCTTGTTTATATAATCTGTTTCTCAATTAGAATATGAACTCCACAGTAACAGCATTTTTTTCTTTGTTCATTCGTATATCATCAGCACTTAGAACAATGCCTGGCACACAGCAGACACTAAAACGTTTGTGGAATAAATGAGTATGTAAGGTTATTTTCAGTGGTAAAATTCTAATTTTTTTTTTTTTTTTTTTTTTTTTTTTTGAGATGGAGTGTCGCTCTGTCGCCCAGGCTGGAGTGCAGGGGCACGATCTCGGCTCACTGCAAGCTCCTCCTCCCGGGTTCACGCCATTCTCCTGCCTCAGCCTCCGGAGTAGCTCAGACCACCGGCACACGCCGTCACTCCCGGCTAATTTTCTGTATTTTTAGTAGAGACGGGGTTTCACCGTGTTAGCCAGTATGGTCTCGATCTCCTGACCCTGTGACCTGCTCGCCTCAGCCTCCCAAAGTGTTGGGATTACAGGCGTAAGCCACTGCACCCGGCCAAAATTCTATAATTCTTTAAGATCAAAAAGGGATTATACATAGAAAATAATCCCATAGTTAGTAATTAGGAGAAGTGAATGATGTAAACAAATTCATTTGTAATGTTTCCTAGACATTATCAGAGTTAAATTGCTCTGGGATCAATCATAAACCTAATCCAATATTGCATTTGTAATATAAGTGTAATGAATTTTAGTAAAAAAAATTTCAATAAAATATCCAGTTTTAAAAACTGAAAAAATGGCTTACTAAGGGAACCTAAAATTAATGTGAAATAAAAATTGGCCTTAATCTTAAAAGCAATATGGAAAGACTTTTCAATGCACAGCACAGGAAACAATCAACAAAGTGAAGAGACAACCTACAGAATGGGAGAAAAAAATTCCCAACTATCCATCTCACAAAAGTTAATGACCAGAATATATAAGGAACGAAAACAACTCAATAGCAAAAAACAAATAATCTGATTAAAGAATACGCAAAAGATCTAAACAGACAGTTCTCAAAGACATACAAATGGCCAACAGGTGTCTGACAAAATGTTCAACATCATTAATCATCAGGGAAACACAAATCAAAACGGCACTGAGATATCATCTCACTGCAGTTAAAATGGCTACTATTAAAAAGACAAAAAATTACAAATACTGGTCAGGATGTGGAGAAAGGGGAAAACTCATATGCTGTTCATGGGAATATAAAGTAGGAATGCCATTATGGAAAAAAGTATGAAAGTTCTTCAAAAAACTAAAAATAGAACTACCATTTGATTGAGCCATCCTACTGCCAGGTATATGTCCAAAAGAAAGGAAATCAGTGTATCAAAGAGATACCTGAACTCTCATGTTTACTGCAGTGGTATTCACAATAGCCAACACATAGTATCAACCTAAGTGTCCAGCAACAAATGAATAAAAAAAGTGAGAAAGTGTGGTATATATATACACAATGGAATATTATTTAACCATAAAAAAGAATGAAATCCTGTCATTCACAGCAACACAGATGGAACTAGAGGTCATTATGTTAGGTGAAATAAGCCAGGCACAGAAAGACAAATATTGCATATTCTCAATCATATGTAGCAGCTTAAAAAGTGGATCTCATGGAGGTAGGGATTAGAATGGTGCTCACCAGAGACTAGGAAGGAAAGAGGGAAGGGAGTAATGAGAAGCTGATTAGTGTGTACAAAAACACAGTTAGACAGAAGGAATAAGTTCTGGTATTCAACAGTACAGTAGGAAAATTATAGTTAACAATCACTTATTGTATTATTTCAAAATAGCTAGAAAATTATGTTGCCAATATAAAGATAAATGTATGCGGTGATGGATATCCCAGTTACTCTGATTGATAATTATATACTGTGTATAATGTATCAAAATACTACATGTAGTCCAAAAATACGTATAACTATTATACATCCAAAAAAAAAAAATGTAAGACTTTTTAAGACAAAAAGCGGGGGGAGGGGGTGGGGGCTGTAATATTGGAAAGAAAAGTAATCCAGACTGGGCACAGTGGCTCATGCCTGTAATCCCAGCACTTTGGGAGGCTGAGGTGGATGGATCACCTGAGGTCAGGAGTTCCAGACCAGGCTGGCCAACATGGTGAATCCCTGTCTCTACTAAAAATACAAAAATTAGTAGGGTGTGGTGGTAGGTGCCTGTAATCCCAACTACTCGGGAGGCTGAAGCACAAGAATTGCTTGAATCTAGGAGGCCAAGGTTGCAATGAGCCACAATCCAGCCACTGCCCTCTGAGACTCTGTCTCCAAAAAAAAAAGTAATCCATACTAAAATAAAAACTTCACATTAGAAACTTGTCTAAATGAAAGCAAACTGCTTCAAGCATCTAAAATTAACAGAGGTCGGGCATGGTGCTCACTGTGTAATCCCAAGATTTTGGGAGGCCGAGACAGGCGGATCACTTGAGCTCAGGAGTTCAGGACCAGCCTGGGCAACATGCTGAAACCCCATCTCTACAAAAATATACAAAAATAATAGCCAGGCATGATGGTGTGCACCTGTGGTCCCAGCTACTTGTGGCTGAGATGGGAGGATGACTTGAGCCCAGGAAGTTGAGGCTGCAGTGAGCTGTGACGGCACCACTGCACTCCATCCTGGGCGACACAGTGAGATACCTTGTCTCAAAAAGTAAATATAATAAAAGAAAATATAAATCAATAGCACCTGTTTCGACAGATGACCTAACATGCCCCAATTCTAGCTTCACCCAACTAGAGAGGGTAAAAAAAGGATACAATAACATCTCCTCTGCGTTTCCCAGAAAGCCAAAGTCACTCTACCTAATTAAAGGAAGCTGAATATTTAAAGTATATTCTTAAGTGCTGAAAACATCCTGGAGGAAAATTAATAAATACTTCACTAAAACATGTTCTAGTTACAAAGACGGTAAATTAGATGGACCAAGAACTATACACAGAAAGGAAAGGCGTTTTTACCAAAGAACACATCTTGCTTTAATATCAATAATAATAAGGCAGATAGCAAGTAATAAATAGAAGTGGTAATGTTAAAACTTCTTCATCCCACTAGCTCATCTCATGTAAAAGATATCATTCTTACCATTTGGCTTTGATAACAGTTACCTCTAAATATAGTATACAGTAAGTACTTTATAGCACTACCTATTAATGAACTTTAGTCACTAGGTTATAAGTATCTTTTATTTTGTATTTGTTATTTTTATAGAGACGAGGTCTCACTATGTTGCCCAGGCTGGTCTTGAACTCCTGGACTCAAGCGATTCTCTCGTCTTGGTTTCCCAAAGTGCTAGGATTACAGGCGTGAACCACTGCGCCTGGCCTGAATTTCTAAAAAAGATACAAAGAACTTAAGAATCTTTGACTACTATTAAAAGTTTAGTTTCAGTACCAAGAAGTAGGATGCTTGTCAAACTTTTCAGAGAAATTACATATACTTAAGAGAATATCATACACTTAAGAGAATATCAGCCATGCAATTCATACAGTATTCGAGAAGCAGATTTAAAAGACTCTAGTATCAAAAGTATTTATTACTTCCTCCTTTTAACATTTTCAGGATGTGAAGTTATTAATATACAAAGTCAACTATGCAAAAATATAACCTTTATCTTTGAAAAGTCTTATGTTTTTCTCTTTAAAAGCAAACTCACCTGATTGTTTCATCTGTTTTGTTAATATGAAGGTTTTCTACAAGAATCACCTGACTTTGATTTTCACACATTCTGTGTTCTGAAACTGTGGAGGAGGGAACTTCAATATCAGTTTCAATTTGAGGATTTGACTGAAAAGACAAAATCATATTAGTATGTTATTTTCATAGCAGAATATACCTCTTAAAATACTTCCATCATTAAGAAAGATATTTGGTTTTCTAAAATCCCTTTTCTTTTTTAAATTTTTATTTATTTCAAGATAGTCTCATCATACTGCCCAGGCTGGTCTCAAACTCCTAGGCTCAAGTGATCCTCCTTCCTCGGCCTCCTGAGTAACTGGGATTACAGGCACATACCACCATCGGTGGTTAATTCTTTAAAATTAGATTCAAACTGGATATGTAATGTTCATATTCTGTTGCCAAAACAAGGATGCCTAGTTCAGAGAAAATTTTCAAAGATTATTGCAATGATATGTTTACATAATACTTTGAAACCTATAATAGTCACCTGCTATGAAATTAAAAATAAACAAAAGTTTAATTTTTTTTTAAAAAAAGAGCTTTTTGGTTCAAATAAAGATTATTTTAAATCCAGACTTTGCACTGCTAAACAGAAAAATAAGAACTACCTAAAATGAACATTTTTAGGCATTACACTACTTACTTTTTTCCTAATACCAAAAGTCCCATCAGTAAGAGATTAAACTGTCATTCAAAACAGCATGTTATACAGCAAAAATGATGTAACTAACATATTTATTGATCCAGAAAGCCACTTAACATAGTCTTAAGTGAGTAACAGAAAGTTATAATATGTAATGACTTTATTGCTTAAATCTGCATAAGTGTGTACATATGTGTGCATGGAAATAGATCCAGTAAGATATGTCAAAAGGTTTTCAGTGGTTATCTCAGAGTAAGATCTGTGGTATTTATTACATTATTTTGTCTTTTACGATGAATAGCTTCATTAATTCGAAAAGAAATACATCTTTTTCACTTAAAAAAAAAATCCAGAAGAGCAAATCTGAAACAAAACTGGAAACTGTATTCATTGAGTAGAGTAAGTGTCAGATGCCTGTATTTCTAAGCCATGTCTGAGCTGTAACTTATTTTAAATGCATTAAAAGGCTCAATTTAATTACATAACAATAACTCACCGCAGTTAAGATTTTCTTTTCGGTTTCATCTTTTTGTAATATTGTTCTTTCTTCCTTAATTATGCCTTTGGCGTCACCTTTGTCTACTATTTGCCTCTGTCCTGTCTTTCTTACATTTGGTCTTGGTCTCTGAAGTCGGCCCCTTACTGGTCGAGCAGTTTGGATAACACTTTCTTTCATTTCTTGCTGGAAAGTGTTTATATTATTAGTCCTAAACAAGGGCACAGGGAGAAAGTCAGGGCACTTGACTGTAAAAAGTTGAAAACTAATGTAAAAATGTAAAATTTGGATCTCCTCTAATAAACGCTCTAAAAAATACTTTGTACCATCAAAGGGAAATTGCTTTCTGATTATAAACATCTTACTTTACAAAAGAAAACAGTTATTTCAATTCTCAAAAGGTAATAAACTTATATAATATGCCTAGAGTAGCTAAATATACAGACAGAATGGTGGTTGCCAGGAGCTGGAAGAAGAGGAGAATAAGTTAATATTTAAAGGGTAGAGAGTTTCATTTTACGAAGATGAAAAATAAAGTCTAGAGATGAATGGTGGTGGCAACGGGACAATAATGTGAATACACTTAAACCCACTGCACATTAAAAAATAGTTAAAAAGGTAAATTTTATGTTATGAGTATTTCACCAATTTTTAAAAGGTAATGAATATATATAGCTCATATACATACAGGCTGAGCAGCCCTCATCCAAAATGCTTAGGACCAGAAATGTTTCAGATTTCAGATTTTTTTAGATTTGGAAATATTTGCATTATACTTATCAGTTGAGCATCCCTACTTTGAAAATCCAAAATGCTCCACTGAGCATTTCTTTTGAGCATCACATCAGCTCTCAAAAAGTTTTATATTGTGGAGCATTTCAGAATTTTTTATTAGGGATGCTCAGCCTGTAGTTTTTAAATGCATTGCTTGGTATAGGCTCTTACACAGCTGACAATGCAGATAAGCAGGCAACCATTAGGTGGTGTTGAATTCAGTCTGATATTATATTTTAGGCAGTCTGCTATACCAATAAAATTAAAACAATATTCTTTATGTTCACTTTTTAAATGAATTAACATATCTCAATAAAAATGAGAAATATTTAAAAGAAGTATCTCTCTTATTTTATATTTTCAAAGAAAATCACTGTTTACCCCACAGAAACAACTAAGTCATTTTCCTGGGCTTGTGCTGACTGAGACTCCTCTTTAGGTTCACAAGAATTTGAAGGTGAAAGGTTCTTTTCAGTCTGTGTACATGGCAATATCACAGCCTCCTCACTCCTGTGACCTGATGTGTCTTTTTCTCTTGATATCATTAGGGAAGCTTCATCCTAAAAGGTAGAAAACAAAATTTCATTCAGGGTTGCTAAAAGTATAAGGAAATAAGAACTTTCTTATTCCATTAGTACAAGTATAAACCGGTATCATCTTTGTAAAGAATAATAAATTAGTCTATACCAAAATTCTAAATTCCCAGCAATTCCACTTCTAGAAATGTATCTTACAAATACTCAACAAGTACAAATATACACACAACAATATTTATTGTAATAATTTAAGCACCACCTCCCTCACCGGAAAAGACAAACAAAAAATCAGAAATAAGACAGATCTATCATTAGGGGACTGAATAAATAAATTTTAATTTCTTTACAATGCAATAGTACCTAATCATTTAAAAGAAGATATATCTCTTTGTACTGATCTAAGAAGAAGCTCACAATATTGTAGGTGGAAAAATCAGAAGGCAAAAATTAATGTCATTTTGGAAAAAAAATAAAAATACCTTCCCATTTTATTATTTTAAAATTGTAAGACCAAAAAGTATAAGTGGATATATTCAAAATTACTGTATGATTAACTTGGGGGAAAGGGATGTGACATTATAAGACTTTCACTTTTTGGAATACATATATTTTTCCAAATTGAAATTTCTACAATCAGAAAAGTGTAGGAGAAAAAGTACAAATGTTGATGCACAGTAAAGTACTGAGCTGTTTTAAGATGTCAAATAAGAGTTTTAATTCTAAAAAGGACTTTATATGTGGAAAACATTCAGTTTATAATTATTCATTTCATTTCTCACAATTTTAATCTGTTATGGACCAAGTTAATAAAGTAAATAAAATATCACCTTTAACTCAAATCAATCTTTTAACTCTTTATTTCACCTACACAACAGACTGAAATAAAAAACTATTATTCTTGCCAGGCGCCGTGGCTCAGCGTAATCCCAGCACTTTGGGAGGCCAAAGCAGGTGAATCACGAGGTCAGGAGTTCGAGATCAGCCATGAACCCTGTCTCTACTAAAAAAAAAAAAAAAAAAATTATCCGGGCATGGCGGCGCGTGCCTGTAGTCCCAGCATTCAGGAGGCTGAGGCAGGAGAATCGCTTGAACCCGGGAGGTGGAGGTTGCAGTGAGCCAAGATTGCACCACTACACTCCAGCTTGGGAACAGAGTGAGACTTCAACTCAAAAAAAATTTAAAAATTAAAAAAAAAAACCCTATTACTGTCATTTTTTCTATGAAGAAAAACTGTTTCGTCAATGGTCACATAGCCAGACCTGGAACCAGAGCCCAGACCTCCTAAACGCTTTCCCACAACACGCTTGCCCATTATCAGGTATCTGAGATTCTTACACAAATTATATGTAACAATGAGGCACATTAAGCATGGGAGCAACATTATACGCAGCAAAAATTACACAGAAATATTTGTAAAATTTTAATGCCAGGTGCTTTTATTAGCCCTAATAATTAAAAAAACAAAAACAAAAACAAAAAAAAACCCCACACACAGAACTTCCATCTTAAATATCACTCACATGTTGAGAAGGGAGAGTATCAGCTTGTTCATTATTTTCTTGCATCACAATATTCTCCATTTTCTTGGTTTCTGATTTCTTCCCATATATATATTTTTCTGATTCTGTAGTCTCTCTCTTCAAAGCTGCTCTTGCTAAGTTTGGTTTTGGTCTTTTGAATCGACTCCTCACAAAAGGTGCTGGGTTAATTTCAAGTGACTTCTGTTCTTGAGGAAGAGATCTGCTTTTGGAACAAGGATTATCAAGCTTTAGAATGAACTGAAGGGGCAGGGGAAACAGAGTCTCAGTACAACCTTAGAGACTGGCAGTAAACAAGTAAACATTTAATTTTTTTTTTTTTTTTTGGAGACAGGGTCTTGTTCTGTCCCCCAGGCTGGAGTGCAATGACACAATCATACCTCACTGCAGCCTTGACCTCTGCAGGCTCAGGTGATCCTCACATCTGAGTCTCCCAAGTAGCTGGGACTACAGGCATGTGCCACTACACCCAGCTAGTTTTTGTATTTTTTGTAGAGATGGGGTTGCTACAGCCTGTTGCCCAGGCTGGTCTCAAACTCCTGGGCTTAAAGGATTCACCCAACTCAGCCTCCCAAATTGCTACGATTAGAGGTGTGAGCCACCACACTTGGCCTAATTCTAATTCTTAACAGGAAAACAAATCGAACTATCTGGCAGATCCTGAACACCATGAATGGTACAATCCAGGTATGAGCCTAGGAATTATATCATCTCTGCACAAAGAAAACATAAGTCTATCAAACCTGTATTGATTTAAGACTGTTACAATTTTGTATGTCAGTAACTTTCACAACTGACTTGTCAGAGTGACCTCAATCCTCTCTCCCAGTCTTCCCAAAACTATCTTAAAATCTCTAACACTATCCTGTATATGTTATACCTTGAAACCTCACTTAGTTTAACAGAATCTGCAACTATAACTTAGTATCTTTTTCTTTAAAAACACACTTGTACCTTAAATTAGTATCTGAAAATGGCTCTGGAACATCTGGAGATCGAATCCCCAGGACTTCTGTTTTATCAGATTCAAGAGTCTGTGAAGAAACCTTGAAATGACTGAAGGGACTTGATACTTCTTTTTCAGAATCTCTTTTTTCTTCTACAGGTGTGTGCATCATCAACAGTACTTCACTGCTAATGTTCTAGAGAAACAGTCATAGTAAATCAGCACAAATAAAAGATTATTTAAACATCTTATATACTTAAAACAAAAGTCTACTAAATTCTGAACACTTTCCTTTAACAATTTAGAAGTTTTTAATTTTTAAAGAAAATTTAATTTCCAAATGGTAAAACTAGGAATTCAGGAAACCCTTTTAACATTGCACATTATTACTTTTCCAAACCACAAATGTCATTACCTATTTTTAAAAGTTAGGAAAAAAAAAAAAAAAGTCCTTGAAAATGTTAGAAGATCGTGAACTTCAAAGTAACTTGCAAAAACAAAAAGAACTTTTAGAAGTGAAGTCAGCGGGGGCAAGAAATAAAAGCAGATGCAGATGTGGCCAAAATAAATAATGTGTGTTCACGCTAGGGTTAGTACTAAGTCAGTCTAATTTCCTATTCTTTTACCTAAAAGAGTTACTTCAAATGACATTAAGAACAGTAACATTTTTGGGATCTCAAACCTAAGCCACAAGAAAAATTTGATCCTTGCCCGTCTGACTTAGAGAAAAAGAACAATAATAATAGTGACTTTTTCACAGTTAAAAATAGTTTTTTTTTTTTTTCATTTCTTTTTGAGACAGGGTCTCACGCTGTCACCCAGGGTGGAGTACAATGGCACAATCACAGCTCACTGCAGCCTCAACCTCCAGGGCTCAAGCAATCCTCTCACCTTAGCCTCCCAAGTAGCTGGGACTACAGGCTTGCACCTCATTATATTTTATTTTATTTATTATTATTATTTTCTTAGAGACAAGGTCTCCCTATGTTGCCCAGGCTGGTCTCAAATTCCTGGGCTCAAGTAATCCTCCCATTTTGGCCTCCCAAAGTGTTGGGTTTAGAGGTGTGCCCAGCCTAAGTTATCTTTTTAAAAAAGAACATACAGTTTCTTCAAGGCACTGAAACACAGAAACTTAGGGCTACAAAAGACTTTAGACTTTTAGAGATTTTTAAGTGCTGTTGGACTTAAGGACAAAATAATCATGGAATTATTTTGGTAACTTTCCTCTGAAAAAAAGCATTCAAAAAAACTTTTAAAGGACAGAAAAATACATACTTTAATATCTAGCGAAGGCATAGCACTGCAGTCATTGCTACCGCTCTGCATTAAATGTGTCTCAGTTTGTCTTGAGGTACTGGTCTCCTCTAGTTCATTTTCCCTTAGAGAAATGTCTGTTTTTCCAGTTTTTTTCAATTCTGCCACCTTTTCCTCAGTAACACAGATCTCTTCAGATCCTCTCTCTCTAAAATTTTCTCTTCCAGTTTCTTTCATATCTGTCTCCATTTCTTCAATGACAGCCATCTTTCCTGATACTTTCTCCGTCATGGAAATGTCTCTTTTTCCAGTTTCTTTCAAATCAATCTCCTTTTCCCTTACAGCACTGATCTCCGCTAGCACCTTTTCCCTTTGGGAAACCTCTTCTCTAATTTCTTTCAAATCTGTCCCCATTTTACCTACAGGCCTGACCTCCTCTGGGCCACTTTCCTGTGGGGCTATTTCTCTTTCAGTTTCTTCCACATCTATCTCTATTTCCTCAGCAGCATCAATCACCTCTGGTGTCTCCTCCCTTGGGAAACTCTCTCTTCCAGTTGCTTTCAAATCTGTCTCCATTTCATCTACAGGCTTGACCTCCTCTGGGCCATTTTCCTCTGGGGATATTTCTCTTCTTCCAGTTTCTTCCAAATCTTTGTCTATTTCCTCAGTGGCATCAATCACCTCTGGTGTCTTCTCCCTTGGGGAAATCTCCCTTCCAGTTGCTTTCAAATCTGTCTCCATTTCACCTACAGGCTTGACCTCTTCTAGGCCATTTTCCTGTGGGGATATTTCTCTTTCAGTTTCTTCCAAATCTATCTCTATTTCCTCAGTGGTATCAGTCACCTCTGCTGTCTTCTCCCTTGGGGAACTCTCTCTTCCAGCTGCTTTCAAATCCATCTCCATTTCACCTAGAGGCTTGACCTCCTCTGGGCCATTTTCCTGTGGGGATATTTCTCTTTCAGTTTCTTCCAAATCTATCTCTATTTCCTCAGTAGCATCAATCACCTCTGGTGTCTTCTCTCTTGAGGAACTCTCTCTTCCAGTTGCTTTCAAACCTCTCTCCATTTCATCTACAGGCTTGACCTCCTCTGGGCCATTTTCCTTTGGGGATATTTTTCTTTTTCCAGTGTCTTCCAAATCTTTGTCTATTTCCTGAGTGGCATCAATCACCTCTGGTGTCTTCTCTCTTGGGGAACTCTCATTTCCAGTTGCTTTTAAATTTGTCTCCATTTCACCTACAGGCTTGACCTTCTCTGGGCCATTTTCATGTGGGGGTATTTCTCTTCTTCCAGTTTCTTCCAAATCTTTGTCTATTTCCTTAGTGGCATCAATCACCTCTGGTGTCTTCTCCTTTAAACAAATCTCTCTTCCCCTTGCTTTCAAACCTGTCTCCACTTCCCTGGTGACATCAATCACATCTAGAATCTTCTCCCTGGGAGAAATGGCTCTTCTTCCAGTTTCTTTTAAATCTGACTGCATTTCTTTAGTAGTATTAATCTCTGCTGGTACCATCTCCTTTGGTGAAGTGTCTAGTCTTACAGTTTCTCTCAATGCTGCTGTCATTTCCCCAGAGGCAAGAATCTTCTCTAGTACTTCTTCTTTTGAGGAAATTTCTCTCCTTCCAGTTCCTCTTCCAATATTCGGCTTTGGTTTCTGAAATCGAGTCCTTAGAATTGGGACTTGATTAAGTTTATTTGCTTTATTATTCTCTTGAATGCTATAAAAAAAAAGGGGGGCACACAATCAAGTTTTAAACCAGACTGCCTGCTAAAGAGATGATGTTTGAGAAATCACTACAGAAACACCAGAAACTCTCAAATTCAAAAAAATTAAGGAAGTCCTAGGAATCTCTGGGTAAAATTTACAAATTAAAAGAAAAAAATCCCACCTTTTGAAATCAAAGCAAAAAGTTTAAATATATATACCTAGTAAAGTCAATCAGTATAGAAGCTATTTGATCCTAATAATCTCTTTCCAATTGTCATTCACACTACCATTTGCAAATACTGACTGGGAAAGACTCTCCAGTTCCCTGCATTGGAGCCAGATTAATGTATGTCTGCTATTTCTACCTCTTCATCCCTTCTATCTTTTACACAGACAAACGCTTTGCCAAAATAGACCTGACCACCTCAAATACCTGGATACAAGTATGACTTGACTAAGATTAAATCTTAGGACTACAAATGAGGTCTGCCCTCCTCACCTTTTAAAATCAACTTTATATGAGATTTCCTATACACATGTTTCTCTAAGAGCTTATTTCATAATATAAGTAAAGAATAAAAGGAAAGACTAAATACACAATAATGTTTGCTGAATGCTACTTGGCAGACAATCACTATCCAAAACAAGCACCTTGCTCTCCAGAAAAGCAGCAGCACTTTTTGTTTTGCTTTCTGTTTATTATAATAGACAGTGAAATCAATAAACATATAAATAAATGAAAGAGCTTTTATATGACTGGTAAGGAAAAGTTATTAATATTGGGCAAAAGCTAGATCAAAGGAAACACTAGATTAGATTTATTCAGCCATGTCAGACTGAACAGGTATGTAACTATACATTCAACAGTTTAAAAAAAGACGAGTGGGGCATGATGCCTCATGTCTGTACTCCCAGCACTTCAGGAAGCTGAAGCAGATGGCTCGACCCCAGGAGTTTTTGGTAGAAATCCCATCTCCACCAAAACAAAACAAAACCCAAAATTAGTCAGGTGAGGTAGCGTGCACCTGTAGTCCCGGCTATTCAGGAGGCTGAGGTGGGAGGATCACCTGAGCCCAGGAAGGATGACAGTGCAGTAATCTATGATCATGCCACTGCACTCCAGACTGAGCAACAGAGCAAGATCCCGTCTCAAAACAAACAAACAAAAAACAAAAACAAATAAGCAAAAGATTTACTTAAAAGTATTCTAGGCTGGGCATGGTGGCTCAGCCTGTAATCCCAGCATTTTGGAAGGTTGAGACAGGCGGATCACTTGAGGTCAAGAGTTCGAGACCAGCCTGGCCAACATGGTGAAACACTGTCTCTACTGAAAATACAAAAATTAGCAGGGCATGGTGGCGCACGCCTGTAATCTCAGCTACACAGGAGGCTGAGGCAGGAAAATAGCTGGAACCCACGAAGCGGAGGTTGCAGTGAGCCAAGATCATACCACTGCACTCCAGCCTGGGCGACAGAGCAAGACTCTGTCTCAAAAAAAAAACAAAACAAAAACAAAAACAAAAAAACTAAAGTATGCTATTGTTGCTACTGTTTGTTTCAACTTCTTTAGGTCCTAAACTATCCTTCCTCACTGAAATAACTGTTTTCAATAATGCAATTTTTGATACTATAAGACAGGTCCTTAGGAATAAGATTGCTTTTCAAGTTGTATTTGTTTACGTAACTTAAGTGTTTATATCCATCATTAACGTTAGTAATTGACAATGTTAAATGTAAAATTAACAGCAATCAATGAAGGAAATTTAATTTGATTAGTACAGAATGGACTGAATTCCATTTTCTGATTTATGACACTTTTCATCTCCATCCAGAAACATCTAGCTTTTAGTGAGATTACTATGCTAGCAATCTTGGTTTGGGTATCATGGGAAGAGATAAACTATCTTTACAAAGTCACATTTTGAAAACAGGCATATTATTTAAACACATAAATGCTTTAAGCAAGGGCTTTATTAATAATTTCATTATTTCAATATCAGTTCAGATTGTAAGACACAGATACGCAATGTTATAACTATATTCTATGTGCTTAGATTTTTTAAACTGCCATTCCAGCAAAGCATTAGATTGTTTCTAAGTAACAAAAGAAGTACAGCATTAACTGAAGGGCAGTATCTGAGACTGGATATCAGATATAAAATTGAACTTGATTATTTCTCAAAATATGCAGTGGATCTACAAACTTTCCTCAGATCACAAATTTGAGAAGGAAGGCAAAGCAAGAGGACCACGAATGGAGAAAATAAGATATGGAATGAGCACAGAACTATAAATGTGCTTTAAGGTCTGCATATGTGTTTTTCTAAAACACAGAGTTTAAGAATCTATAAAATATTCATGGCCAGGCGCAGTGGCTCACACCTATAATCCCAGCACTTTGGGAGGCCGAGGAAGGAGGATCCCTTCAGCCCAAGAGTTCAAGATCAGCCTGGGCAACATGGCAAAACACTGTTTCTACAAAAAATTTAAAAATTAGCCAGACGTGGTGGCATGCACCTGTTGTCCCAGCTACTTGGGAGGCTGAGGCAAGAGGATAAATTGAGCCCAAGAGGTCGAGGCTGCAGTGAGCCATGATCGCGCCACTGTACTCCAGCCTGGGTGCAAGAGCAAGACCCTGTCTTTAAAAAAAAGCGTGTGTCTGCGTGTGTTTCAAACATATAAATGTGTATATATATATGTTTCAAATATATATATATATATAAACCTCCAAAGGAACATCACCAATCATGACAAAAATCTTAAAATATTTATATGAAGTAGATAAGATGCAAAATTAACCTAGAAGATTAAATTTCAAAGAAATATTCACTAATTTATCTAATAAAGTACCTTTTTTATATAGAGATGGGGTCTTGCTATGTTGTCCAGGCTTGTCTTGAGCTCCTGGCCTCAAGTGATACTCCTGTCTCAGCCTCCCAAAGTGCTGGGATTATAGGTGTCAGTCACCATGCCCAGCCTAAAGAATTTTTAATGCATTCTTTAAGAGACTGTTTTCCTACTGTCTCTTTCTCTTACATAGCATCTTGAACAGGCCAACATATTTGGAGTAGGGGACGGAGAAAACTTTCTGCTAGACATAGATAGGTGTATAATTTGATAAAACACAGAATCTTAGAATTGCTTTTGAAGATTTTGGAGATTCAAAGGCCAGAAAGATCACATGACAAAGCAGAAATGACACTACCCATGGAGAGGAAAGTTGTTGAGATCAGACTGAATATTAGTTACAACGTCCCCCAGCATTCTAAAACCCAGAGGCCATTCAGGAAAGTTTCATTTTCTACTTAGCCACAGTATCTATTAAAAGACTCTAGCTTAAACTGAAAAAATATAAATAAAAAGAATAATTTGTTAGCTATCTGTAATTAAAATCCATATCAGAGATATGTAACAAGCAATGCAGTCATACAAACTTCTACCTAGAGACTGTGTGCACATTAGTAAAATAATTGGGGCAGTGGGGAGGAATAAGAAGCAAAGGAATATTGAAGGCAACAAGAAATAAATAAATTTTTTTGTCTTCCCATAAAGATGTTTAAAGTAGTTCAGGAAACCTAGCTTTCACTCTCAGGTTAGGTACTTTTCTTTTCTGGAGGGACAGAAGTCTGTCTCACTTTGCTGCCCTGGCTGGAGGAAAGTGGCACAATCATAGCTCCCTGCAGCTTCTAATTCCTGGGCTCAAGCAAGTCTCTTCCTTCGGCCTTCCATGTAGCTAGATAGGCATGAGCCGCCATGCCCAGCTAGGTACTATTTAAACAGGTTAACACAGCTGTAAGAAATTATAGCATAGGCTAGTCTTTAAATGTAAAGACTGGTAAAATATTAATTATTGAAACTGGACAGCAGGTATATGGGAGTCCACTACTGCGCTTTTGCGCACATTAAACATTTCCAAAATGAAAAGTTGAAATAGTATACTAGTAATTCCATCAGCCTGGCTTGGTACCCTCCAAGGAAGAAATAAAAAATAGAAAAGGCTTTGGCTATAAGCAGTATGGGTTTCTACACATAAGTTTTAAACAAAACATAGAAATCTTAAATAAAAGCAATATGTGCTCAATCTAATTCCAAAGAAACAAATATTTTAAAAGTAAGTAGCATTTTACATTTGAACATAAACATATAATTTAATACGCGTGTTAAGTGACAAGGCTGACTGGGCGTGATGGGTCACATCTGTAACCCCAGCATTTTAGGAGGCCAAGGCAGGTGGATCACTTGAGGTCAGGAGTTCGAGACCAGCCTGGCCAACATGGTGAAACCCTGTCTCTACTAAAAATATAAAAATTAGCTGGGCTTGGTGGCAGGTACCTGTAATCCCAGCTACTCAGCAGGCTGAGGCAGGAGAATCACCTGAACCTGGGAGGCAGTGGTTGCAGTGTGCTAAGACTGTCCTCCAGCCTGGGCAATAAGAGTGAAATTCCATCTCAAAAAATAAAAAGTAAAATAAAATGAAATAAAGTGATAAGGCTATTCATGTTAACTCAAGTACTAATTTATGATGAGTAGTTTTTTTCAAACCATCTGAGAAATTCACATAAAGCCTACAACATAAACTTTCTTGAAAGGTGAAGTTATATTTTTAAATGTTATATAACTAGATACGCAGACAACAAATCCATCTAAATTGCTTCTGTCTTAAAAAACTCATTGAGTTCTAAAACTTCTTACAAAATCCAAAGATGATATAATCAACAAAATGATGCTTACCTTAGACATTCATTAAGAACCTTGGGCTCATCTGGCTGCACATTTTGAAAAGAATCATTTTTCTCAGGTTGTAATATGACATCTTCCTCTTCAAAATCTTTACATGATTGATCTTCCATGTGTTGAGTCTTAAAAACAAACACATTTTTCTAATGTTTTAGGTTTCACAATGAGGCATAACAGATTTCATTGAAAATGTTGTCCAATTTAAGTATAAAATGGTAAAAAAAATTCAAAATTATAAAATGGTGACTTTAAAATACTTTTAATGTATTTTCTTTAGCTATCTTAGAAAATTTCAAGAGCTACTCCTTTTAGGATATCTCAAAGTCCCATTCCTCTCCTCCCAGTCAAAAAACAAGTTAACTGTCTTGGTTTCATCTGTTAGAAATACCCCTGTGGGGTCTATTTTTCTGAATTATTTTGATTATTATAATTGCATTATAGATCACGTGAATTTTTTTTTTTTTTTTTGAGACAGAGTCTTGCTCTGTTGCCCAGGCTAGAGTGCAGTGACGCGATCTCGGCTCACTGCAAGCTCCGCCTCCCAGGTTCACGCCATTCTCCTGCCTCAGCCTCCTGAGTAGCTGGGACTACAGGTGCACCAGCTGCCACCTGTGCCACCACCACGCCCGGCTAATTTTTTGTATTTTTAGCAGAGACAGGGTTTCACCATGTTAGCCAGGATGGTCTTGATCTCCTGACCTCGTGATCCGCCCGTCTCGGCCTCCCAGAGTGCTGGGATTACAGGCGTGAGCCACTGTGCCCAGCTGGAGTTTTTTTAAGACTGGGTCTCACTCTGTCACCCACGCTAGAGTGCAATGGCATAATTATAGATAGCTCACTGGAGGCTTGAACTCCTGGGCTCAACTGATCCTCCTGCCTCAGCCTCCCAAGTAGCTGGAACTATAGAAGCACACCACTAAGCCCAGCTAATTAAAAAACTGTTTGTAGAAACAGAGTGTCACTATGTTGCCCAGACTGGTTTCAGACACCTGGCCTCAAGCAATCCTCTCACCTCAGCCTCCCAAAATGCTGGGATTACAGGCGTAGGTCAACATGCCTGGTCTACAGATCATGGGAATTATAACGTAAGAAACTGAAATCTCAAAATATGCCAACTTTTATCTGTATCACAAAGACTATGTAAATAATCCAAAATTCACAGTCTTTGTTCTTGGAATTGTATCTTAATAGGGAGCTTTTAACATTTTATGCCGTTTAAGCCAATGTTAAAACTCACATATGTACTGATCTCTTCAAAAGAGAAGGTTAATTCAAATATCCACTAAGTGATAGGGAAAAGCAAGTCCAAATATGAGGTCAGGTGAAACAGATTATTTATCATGTAAATGTCCAAAATCTAAAATGGCTTTACAATTAGTAAGGCTGTTGGCTATAAGATTTTGACCACAAATTTAATAAATGATGCACACAAATTGTGCAGTACTGTTTTTAAAAGGGGGTAAAGGGGTTGGGCACAGTGGCTCATGCCTGTAATCCTAGCACTTTGGGAGGCTGAGGCGGGTGGATCACCTGAGGTCAGGAGTTCGAGATCAGCCTGGTCAATATGGCAAAACCCTGTCTCTACTAAAAATACAAAAATTAGCCAGACCTGGTGGTGTGCGCCTGTAGTCACACAACTAAAAATACAAAAACATTATAGATCATGGGAATTTTTTTGTTTTTGAGACAGAGTCTTGCTCTGTCACCCAGGCTAGAGTGCAGTGGCACGATCTCAGGTGGCTGAGGTAGGAGAATCACTTGAACCTGGGTGGCAGAGGTTGCAGTGAGCCAAGATCGTGCCACTGCATTCCAGTCTGGGCGACAGAGCGAGACTCTGTCAGAAATAAACATATGTATGTATGTATGTATGTATGTAAGCATGTATGTGGGTGAAGGGAAGCTTATATTAAGGCTCACGTACTTCACAAAAATGTGAGGAGGAATCAGAGTACTTACATCTCTATCAGCACGGGATTCATTTTCATTCTTTTCTACATTGGCCCCAATTTCTTCCTGTGACATGAGAATTTCTTTTCTTCCAGCAGCTTTACCTACATTTGGCTTTGGCTTTTGCAATCGGCCCCTCACTTTTGCAGGTGTTAAAGCCTTTAGTTGACTCTCTTCCTGCAGACAATTTTTTTCACCCAACCTAGAACCACAAAGAAATAAAATCAATGTTTATTTTGAAGTCACCAATTTATTTCTCCCTGGCATGAATAAGTAAACCATGTGGAATATGAAATAATTCACAAGTTTCCTGAAAAGACATAATCCTCCCAGACGTGGTGGCTCACACCTATAATCCCAGCACTTTCGGAGGCCAAGGCGGGGGGGATCATTTGAGGTCAGGAGTTCGAGACCAGCCTGGCCGACATGGTTAAATCTGTCTCTACTAAAAATATAAAAATTAGCCAGGCGTGGTGGTGGGCGCCTGTAACCTCAACTACTTGGGAGGCTGAGGCAGGAGAATCACTTGAACCTGGGAGGCAGAGGCTGCAGTGAGCAGAGACTGCACCACTACTCAACAGAGCGAGACTCCATCTCAAAAAAAAAGGAAAAAGAAAAAAAGACATAATCCTGAAAAGCCCATTTGAAAAAGCACTTTTAAATAGAATTTTATTACAAAATTGGAAAAATCTACATCTGTCAAGCATAGAATACTACTCCTGACTAAGGATACTATAGAATACTGTAGAACTCCAGGGGATTAGTCCCAAAGCACGGTATAAATGGTAACCCCTGGAACAGCCCAGAATCCACCAGTCAGATTCACATTCTATTTTAGATTTCCATTTCAAGTTAAATATACCCTTTTAAAATCTCTTACTATAAATAAAATTATCCAAGAGCACATATTATAAACATTCAAATGTAATGGCTAACTCAACAGACTTAAAAAATTCATAGAAGCAATATCAAGCAGAGAGAGTATTATTAATGTTTCAAAACCACCTATGGTTGAAAACGAACTTAAAGTATGCCACTTGAAAATTAAATTCAGACCTTATTAAGTAGAAAACAAATTATTACCATCATTCCTAAGAGTTACTTTTCTTTACTATTTCCTGAATACTTACATAGATACAGTTTCAGCTTCTGGATTCTCTCTCTCCGTAGTCTCCATTCTCAAAATGTCCAATGTATTCATCTTATCCTTTTCCAGGTGGTCCTGTGAATTTAATTTGCTACAATTTATCTACTTACCATAAAAAGTTCAAACTTTGCAATAAATAAATGGAAATTAAAACAACAGAACTGGCCGGGCACAGTGGCTCAAGCCTGTAATCCGAGCACTTTGGGAGGCCAAGGCGAGCAGACTGCCTGACCTCAGGAGTTTAAGACCAGCCCGGGCAACATGGTGAAACTGTCTCTACTAAAATACAAAAAAATTAGCCAGGCGTGGCAGCATGCGCCTGTAGTCCCAGTTACCTGGGAGGCTAAGGCAGGAGAATTCCTTGAATGCGGGAGGCAGAGGTTGCAGTGAGCTGAGGTCACGCCACTATACTCCAGCCTGGGTGACAGAGTGAGACTCCATCTCAATAAATAAATAAATAAGAACTTCATTTTTTGTACTTCTAACTAGATGAGATTTTCTAAAAATCCTAAATGCAGATGAAATTTTTTTTTTTTTTGAGACACAGTCACGCTCTGTCGCCCAGGCTAGAGTACAGTGGCATGATGATAGCTCACTGCAGCCTTGACCCCAGAGGCTCAGGTGATCCTCCCATCTCAGCCTCCTGAGTAGCTGGGACTACAGGTGCACACCATTCCCAGCTAATTTTTTCATTTTTTGTACAGACCGGATCTTGCCATGTTGCCCAAGCTTGTTTCAAATTCCTGGGCTCAGATGATTAGCCCACCTCAGTCTCCCAAAGGGCTGGGCTTACAGGTATGAGCCACCACA